AAAAAAAAAAAAAAAAAAAAAAAAAAAAAGGTTGAAGTGCTACTTTTCATTGAGAGTAATTACCAACCAACTTGAAAATGTCTCCCCTTTAATTAAAAGGGTACTATTTTGTAAGATAGTATTAGTATAACACACTGTAGGTTATAGTTAATTTATGTCAACACAATAAGCAAAAGAGTAATATTGAATTTTTCTGTGATTAGGATAATGCAAACATAATTTTAAAACTGTATGTTTAAGATCATTCTGAAAAAATTACGTACAGTAGGGTCTAGAAACTTACGTCAAACTCCTTGGTAAGAGCAGGGTCAGGTTGATGATGCATAGAAAGTAGTTCTTTTGTAATAATTTGAAGATTTGAAGGTGAGCTATCAGCCAACATTACGAGGACTTCATAGGCTGCCAATCGGCTATTCACTGTACTACACCTAAAAACAAAAGCCATAAGTCAATTCAACAGTGAAAAATCTACTTAAATTGGTTATTAATCTAAATCAATTTGAAATGAAAGTATCAGAGCTGCAATTCCTCAAACAAGGTTAAGTCAGGTCTGAAGGCAGAGCGCTAGTAAATCTAGTGGGCAGTGCTTACTTAACAAAAGAAAAGGCCATGAATACTAGAGAGATGAACATGGTTTAGAGCTAAGTATCTTCTTGGCCTGATGGTAAAGTAGCAAAATATTTCACATATGATTCTGGAGTTTTCTTATCTAAGGGATGGATCAGCAAGAATAGAGGATAAAGAGTCTGAAATTTTTACCAAAACCACAACATGGGAATAACTATCTTTTCAATTAAAGTAGGTAGCAAGAATGGGTTTTGTAGATATCACCCTGAAATTCAAATATCTAAATGGCAGAAAAAGAAAGCTATACAAATCAGAATAGATGCCTGTAAACATTTTATACGTGCCTGCAGATAAAAAAATTCTTCAAGGACTAATTAACTTTCCATTTTGTTGATAAAATAGAGACAAATACATAGTTTGCCCAATTTGCTTAAAATGACAACAAAAAATAACTAGCAAGCATTCTGCAGGAAACTAAAGGCTTCTTATACTGCTCATCTTTAACAGAAATCATTCTGGGGATAAACAGTAATTTCTCACTGTCACCTATGCCAACCTTGCAATACCGTGATCACAGGTTAGGGAGGATACACAGAAAAGAGGACATCCAACCTCTGAGAGAAACACTTATGGAGCATTGGAGCTGTGTTCAAGAGGGGGCTGTGGGGCTCCTAAACCAGCACTGTGTCAGGCAGAGGACAATGGCCATCGAGTGAGCACTGTCCTTTGCTTCTATCTGGACTTCAGGGTTGGAAAGGACAGGTAAAGAACGGGAGGTACCATAGACACAGGCTAAACATTAACAAGTTCTTTTGTTGTTAGTGTCATATAAGAATACATTTCTTGTGCAAAGAGCTTCTGTGTATTTTAAATCTCTTTCTGGCTTTAGGGTTTAGGTGGAAAAAAGCTGGGAGTCACTGAGCTAAATGGACACCATTCAGTATACTGGGGACAGATGCAACAAAATGTTTCTCCTTTTCCATCCAAGGCATTGTACATGATTAAAAAACAACTTTTTGTGGATGGAGGTATTACTTTTAATTAATATAAAGGAAGGATTCATGAATAAAAATTTCAATAGAATTGAAGATTTATTTTCTGTTCACTGAAAATTGAAATACTCATGTATTTCTACTGCTTTAACCCTCTGTTGGGCGCAACTAATCTCACAGATTGTTTTGAAATTCTGTTGCTTTTTATACTGAATTTATGTAACAAACATATTGTTTTTACTTTGTGGCAAATTAAAATTTCATTCTGAATAAATAGTAAGCATGCTTGCACATTATTTTCATTCATTTTCAATTTAAACAAATAAATGTGATGCACGCATCTAGTATATGCATTGTGCCTGAACTCATAACTTTTGCACTGCGCTCGATGGAGGGTTAATAAAAGACTCCCATGGAGCTAGCACCAAAGCTTCCAGAACAAGACTGGGGTAGGGGTGAGGACAGAAGCCTGAGGGACACCCTAGGAGTGCTAATGAAGGTTTATTACCTAAAACAGATTTTGCTAATAAGGATTCTAAACAGAGATATATTCATACATAGTAAGACACCTCTTAAGATTTCATAAAATATTGCTTATTATATTGCATTAACCACTGAAAGTATGTGGGAATTTTTTTTCACTGGTTAAATAGCAAATCCTCAGCTTCTTTTGGATTACTCAATTAACTTCAGTTTTCATGAGAAAAGAACAAAGTAAATTAGATTCACAGCAAATAAGATGGCAGCTGGTAGCTGCTTCCTCCTAACTCCAAAAGTATAAACATCACCCAAGTATGGTCAGCATTATAAAAGCATCTTCCAAATTTCCACCCACAGAAGATGATACAAAATTTGATTCTAAAATTACCACTGTAATCAATCACTAGCAGTTTTAATTATTAGGACACAGTCAATACTCAGCAAATCACAAGGTGCATGCACTATAGCACGTACACTTTTCTCCTAGAAGGAACCCTCAAGTCTCAAAGCCTATTTACTTTCACTTTGGACATAATTTTTACAACCTCAGTTTCTTTTGGAATTTGTTACTGACCAAGTCAACCGTGTTATTACTTACTCTACCAGTCTGATGATAAGAATGGTACCAGCATACTTGCTCAGCACTTACTATGTGCCAGGAAGGCTTTATCCTAAGCCTCTTTACATGCATTTCTTTATATAGTGGATAATATCTTATAAGCTATGCACACTCACAAGATGGAAGACAAACTCCAAGTTACGAAAATCTTTTGGGACTAAAGTTTCGAATTAGAATTTTTACCAAAACTGAACACAACGTGCATTTTCCATACTTTGGATGAAAGTCCTGTTGACTGATGGCGGCACTGCCAGCTGGAGAATGACTATTTAAAATAATTCTAGAAGCTCGGAAAAGGAAGTCATCTAACAATGGTTTAATGAGTGATGAACCTGGAATAGAGCATAATATTCATGTTGAGGATGAACACATATTTTAATTCAAAGACCCTGTCTTGCACTTTCATATCAGAGCAGCACAGGCACCCAAGGCCACCCAATGGCAGGGCATTCAATTTAATTTGATGCTAAATTTTTGAGCAGTATAATACAGGGTAAAGCTCTTGGGGCAGAGGTGTGGGGATGGGTGGTGGTAGAGGCAGGGGATAGGATACAAAGATTGACAAGTGAGGGTACCATCCTGTATGAGTTTACAATGCAGTGAAAGGAGTCAAACTTTCACTTTAGAAACACAAACACCAAGAATACCATGAGGCAGAATGGTTTGGGTGAATAATTAATTTCTTAATTTGGGCATGGGGGAGTCCACATAAGGGTTTTTGTAATTTTTAAAATCTTGACTTTTTTAGGTAAAAATGATTTGTCCTTCTCACCCTGGTTTAGAATCCCTCTTTTCTATGTATCTCCAGTAGCCAAGAAATTTTTATAGAGCTTAGTTTGTGTGAGAAAAGTGATAGTTAATGTTTTGATTTGTTTTCTGACTATCCTTATAATACTGAATGTGCTTTTACAAATCGCATGTGTACCCCAGGAGACTCATATGTACCACATCATCCAGGGGTGGTGATTGGGGGCTGCGTCTCCAGATAAAAGTTACCCTTGAAAGAAGATATACAGCAGATTGTATTTTATAAAGTACATAATGGCAGAAAGAGAAAAACCTCCTTTGAATTATTTTTAGTTGGTATTAAGAAATTATGTGAGTCAACTGTTTTGAACACTATGAAACTCTCTGTACAGTTTAATGACACAGGTAAAATACACCTTAAATTTGTTAGCCACTAAAATTCCAGACAACCTTCTATTGCCTGAAGGGTCAATTTTCTATGGAACACTAAGCACCTATCTTATTTTCCCAATTACACACAATACTATGGCAATAACTGAGAATGAGGTATTCTGTCTCATGGTAAGATGAAGCAATAATTACCAAGCATTTCCTTTTCTGCTCCACAGAGTGAAAGAAGAGTCTTAATGAGCCGTAAGTGTCCTGCCAATAAGATGTTGTCTGCTTCACTGGTCTCACATTCAGCTGTGCGATTAGGTTCAAAGTTCTCCAGCCAAGTAATCTCATCTTCGAGCATGGTAGCTGGGCTGATTCTTAATTGCTCCATTTCTGAAGCTAAGAAGGAAAAAAAATCCATTTCTAAGAAAGAAGGATTTCCTTTCATAGAGTCAAAATCTTGAATTAAAGTAAGCAGTCAGGTCCCAATCTTTCACTTCCTAGATCTCAAAACAACCCTGTCATTAATAAACAGCAGGCTATAGCTGCTGCCCACAGGACTATGAAGCTCATGCATATTCATTCCTTCCCTCTCTCACTCTCTGTCAGAAACCAAACATGCTGAGTGCCTCCTCTGTGCAGGTCACTGTGCGATGTGCTGGAGATATAAGGTAAAGGAGACATTCCTTTTCCAACAGAAGCTCCTGGTTTGGTGGGTGTTAGCAGATGTCCCAGGAAAAAAACCCTTCGGGGGAAGAAAGGAAGGGGGGGCTATGAGGAGAGCCCATGCTCCTGCAGTGTTATCCAGGCCAAGAGAGGCGGGGTTCTGCAAAGGAGAGAGGTCAAGTGCATGGCAGCAGGTTCCCAAACGATGAGGTAAACCCTGGGGAGTTACTCTGCTGTTTTGTATGAAGTATTTCACTTCCCTCCAAACAAGGATTAAAACAAGACGACATATTGGAAATTGGAACTGGGGAGGACAAGAGGAGTGACTGTGCTCTACTTCTGCTGCACTACAGCCACGAGTAAGCAGGGTCCCGGGCGGTCAGGTGAAAAAGGGTAGATACTTCAGGGTCAGCCAGAGCTGGACTGGCACTGGATGTGAATCCTGTCTGTCACTCACTGTGTGTCCTTGTCTCCTTATTTATAAACGAGGCTAACATCTGCAGGTTGTTATGTGTAAAGTGCTTAGTACAGGCACTGGCATATCAAAAATACTCCAAAATGGCAAATACTGCTTGTTTCAAGACATACTGCCACCCTGTCCTCAACATCCCAATACGGGATCCTGGATCCCTCATTTGATACTCAGTGACACAGGGAAGCCCTACATTAGTAACTTGTTCACGCATTCGGAAGTTGTATGTGTATACCAACTCGAGTCTAGTCCTTAAGAAGCAAAGCAGGGGCCGGCCGAGTGGCGCGATGGTTAAGAACTCGCTTGGGATGCCAGAGGGCCCCGGTTCGGATCCCACATAGGAGGGCCAGTGACACTGNAAGAATCATTTAAAAATAATGATAATCATTTGTTTATGCCACTGGTATCTTCACTAACCTGTGAGGACAGTCTTTACAGATCTTCTGATCAGAATAGATGCCCTGAAAAGTATTCTTAAAAATTTGATCTCTCCCCATTTTCTGTTGAAATAAAATGTTTAAATTTTAGTTGATATTCTAGTTTATAGTTGTTTAATATAGAATTTTATTTAGAGCCACGCTAAAGCACAGATGTCAATTTCACCATCAAAATAAAATGAGTCACTTTGGTAGTTTAATCTAATAATTAATGGAAGGGTTATAACCCCTTCGACTCACTGTCAGAGTAATGCAAATAATCAGTAAAGGAAGAGGAGAAAGTGTCAGTCAAGGCTGATCACAAGGACAGCCTTCTCTGTGATAATTCTGAATCCCTCTCCTCATGCTACAATTACCAAGTTAGTAGTGACTCTCCACAATCGCTTCTTTTTTTCTTATGGAAATAATATTATAAATTCATAAGTTTTTTTAAAAAAGAAGTGGATACATTGTGCCAACTGATGAGAGGAGAGGCACGCTGTCAGTGATGGGGAGCTGTCTGTAATTTAGAAAGCAATACCATTTAGGAAGTTTGTCACATGTTTTACTGTGTAGAGGTTGAAAGCTCTGGATTTAAACATCACAACTTTTTAATCTGATCCTTTTGTCCTCTTTGACAAAGCAAGACTGCTCTGCATGGGGCCACCAGTTCACCAGTGATTACAGGCCTTATCTGAGGCCAGGTTACTTCAGTGCATGTAAGTAAGAGTATGTAGATACAAATGGTTATTATTATGGAGTACGGATTAATAATTACATACTTTATCAAGTGTTAGATGAATTAAGAAGAAATCTTTAATTTTAGAGATCTGTGTATATTTTGATGTTCAAACCCAGAAGAAATGATATATAGCTATGGTATTGAAGATGATCAATTTTTTTNAGTTATCATTTAAAAAAAAAAAAAAAAGAAGCAAAGCAGAATACCCTCTCCAAGTCCAAGGCAGACAGCAAAACCTTGCTGACTGCTGCCCAATGTTCACTGGAAGCCTGGTTGGAAGATGCGTTATTAGGTTAGACTGTTACACAGACATGTAGTCCATCCACTTCTCTAGGCACAACAGGTCTTATCCTTGTCTCAGCACATACACTCAGACTGTTATCTTAGGCTCCATCAAAGCCAAGGTCACTGCGCTGCTCAGAGCACTGTGTCCTCAGCCTTCAGGAAACACTTAGGAAACTGATGCTGGCATTTGCTTTGGAGATGCAGCTGAGGCTTATTTGTCACTATGTCTTTATGTGTCCACTACATCTGGACCTTTGGATGAAGTTTCTTTTAGGTTTAAATGCTGGGAAAAAGATTGCTTCTTTTGAGAAACCATTCTGTTTCTTCTAGGGTACAGAGAACAACAAACTGTACACTGTTTCCTTTATACGTTTGTCCTCCAAAAACCTCACACCCAAATTCTGACTGTGTGGGGCTTTATAGACTGCATACATATATATATATATATATATATATATATATATATATATATATATATATATATATATATGGCATTTTTTTTCCTCCTGGCCTTCACATTCTTTTCCAATTAATATTTTGTTGATTGATCCTGATTTTTATTTTATTGATTTCCTCGTAAGTGAAAGCAAATCTTTTAGGTAAAGGGTGGGGAATAAACTAACAAACTCTTAAACAACTAAAATTTACACAGAACATTACAACACACATTTGCATAATATAAGAGAAAGTACAGATGATTAAATCTAAACACTCTAACAACAGAATTTCTAATGATATTTCAATCACTTAACACTAAATAACTGGTTTCTATCACTCACTTATATTACTATCAAAATACCTCAATAGAGATTCTCTCTTTCCTTTAATGATCAACCTTTAAAATTGTCAGAATTGACTATACTAGAAAGGAAGACTTTTCCTGATAGTTCTGTATCAGTATAATTAAAATATGAACCTTTGACAATTTCTAAATCAATAAATCTCAACACATTAATAATTAGGTATATAATAATAGGAGAAGAGAGAACTGGCACATGGGGTTTACATGCTATTTTCAGGGAAATAAAATTCAACTTCAAATAATAATTATAATCTCATTTATAGCTGAGATACATTAAGTCAGATTTAGAAATGTCCATTTGGCTTTCGTTTCTCCTCCTTCCCACCCCATCCCCCTACACAAATCAAAGTTAGACATTTACTTACTTGTCAAATCATCTAGTAATTGGCACCTCAGATCAAAATACTCCATACACTGAGATAATAGTCTAAAAAAGAATAGATTTCAATTATTAAAAAAGAGGGTGATCTGAAAATAAAAAGCATTTTCCTTATAATAAGGAGTTCATAAAATAAATGAATTAGAGAATTTTCGTAAGCATAAAATAACTACTTTTATATTAATTCAAGTTCAATATTTTAGCAAGAGGCATGCTAATGATTTTACTAATACAGATAAAGTATAGGAATAATAGTGTAATAGAGGAAACTTATTAAATCAATTACATTTTGTAATGATGTACATACTGATTGCATACATAATGCACCAATTACATTCATTCATTCATTCATTAAAAAATCAACCAATACTTACTGAGCACTATGCCTGTAACTGATTTAGAGGAACAGTGAACAAAGGAGACAGACAACAAATAAAAAAATACATACATATGTCAACTGGTGATAAGCGCTAAGAAGAAAAATAAAGCAGACTAAGAAACAGAAAAAAGTAAATTCTTTTATTTAGGATGATCAATTAAGTTTTTTCTGTAATTAAAGTAGTGAAGAGCACAGGTTATAAAGTCAGGTGGACCGTGGTTTTAATCCTAGCTCTACCATTTATTGCTGGGTGTCCAGGGACAATCTATTTCAGTTCCTTAGGTTTTCTAATTTCTAAAATGCTTATTAGAGTATTAGAAATAAAAATGCACATATATACAGAGAAATACATAAAAAGGCTCAAGAATGCACTGATGATGAGAATAGGTACTGAATCAAGATTTATGATTATTAAAAAAGTAGGGATAATAAAACTGCCAAACACATTTGGCCATTGTTGAGGCTTAAATGGTAAATCTATGCAAAGAATTTAACAAGCTGTAAGACACACAGTCAGTTCATGGTAACTGCTATTATCATCATTACTATTACTATTAGGGAAAATATGTACCAAACTTGGGCATTAAAAAAAGTTGTGAAACACAATTTTCAAAATTATAAAAACATACAAAGTTTAAGCACAGTAGCTTATGTCTTAAAAAAATGGCTTATACATTCCAAGTAGAGAATCATTGATTTTACAAGATAATAAAAGGATCATCTGATTTTAGGACAATTTTAACTAGGACAAGTTGGAATTCTAAAGTAAAAATATACAAGGGCAAAAAAGTGTATATACCTTTTAATCCAAATGTTATCAGGAAAAAAATCATTCTCTGAAATTTGGTTTTACACCATTAAAATATTACTTTTCATTACCAGAAATACACAGTGAACATCTAATTCAGGTTAAATCTTGATGGTCAACTGTAACATAATTGTAAGTTTTGGCTAAAAAAAATTTTTTTTTTTTTTTTTAGCTGAGCCATCCTGCCACCTGTTGGCAGCTCAGTGGCAGCTCAGCTCGGGCCAGGAATCGAACCGCTATTGCTCAGAGTTCAAACTCTTGAGCGAGCTCTTAACCAACTGAGCCACTCGTCTGGCCTTGGCTAAATTTTTAACTTTTAAAAGTCACAATGATCTTATCTCAGAAACCAAAATCCTGACTTCTCCCTTATTTATAAATTTAGATTGTTAAAATAGAAGGTTAACGCTTCAAAATAATATTTAAGTTGAGACTTTGATATGTGGGCCAGGAATCTCCATAAGTGAGAGTGCATGATTACATAACAAAGGCTGATACACACACTTAACCCTATCATGAAGACTTGCAAACCTATAAAAATATAACTCAGTTCAAGAAAATTCTGATGATTATATATCTTATAACTAGAAAATATAGGTATTAAAAAAAGTCAAGGATGGATGTAAGAAGAAATCACAAGGGAAATTAGAAAATATCTTGTGACAAATGAAAACAAAAACACAACATACTAAAAGTTATGGAATACAGCTTTCAAAAACAGCCTTAAGAGGAAAATTTAGACCTGTAAATGCTTACAGTAAAAAGAAGAACAATCTCAAATCAACAACCTAACTCTGCACCTTAAAGAACTAGAAAAAGAACAAACTAAATCCAAAGCTAGTGAAAGTAAAGAAATAATAAAGATTAGATAAAGAGATAATAGAAAAACAGTCATAAAATCAACAAAACCAAAAGTTGAGTCTTTGAAATTAACAATTAAATGACTAAGAAAAAAAAAAGAGAGAATGCTCAAATTATTAAAATTAGAAAATGAGGACATTACTACCAATTTTACAGAAAGGATTATAAAGACAGTACTATGAGCAACTGTACACCAATAAATTGGATAACCTAGATGCAATGGAAAAAGTCCTAGAAACGTACATTTACCAAACTGAATCAGAAAAAAATAGAAAATCTGAATAAATCTATCACTAGTAAGGAAATTAAATCAGTAATCAAAAACCTCCCAACAAAGAAAAGCTCTGGACCAGATGGCCTCATTTGTGAAATGTACCAAACATTTAAATCAATACCGATCCTTCTCAAACTCTTGCTAAAAAATTCATGAGGTTAACACTCATTCTATGTGACAAGCATGAACTGATATCAAAGCCCAACAAAGAACTACAAGAAAACTACAGACCAATATCTGTCATAAATAATGATGTAAAAATCCTCAACAAAGTACTAGCAAACATAATTTAGCAGTATATTTAAAGAATTGTACATCATGAATGAATGGGATTGATACCTGGAATTCAAGGATGGTTCAAAATATGAAAATTAATCCATATGATATACTACATTAACCAAATAGAAAAAACCCACACGATCACCTCATTGATACAGAAAAAAAAAGAAACCTGACAAAATTCAATGCCCTTTCATGAAAAACACACTCAACAAACTAGGAACATAAGAAAACTATCTCAACGTAATAAAGGCCATCTATGAGAAACCCACAGCTAACATCAAGCTCAATGGTGAAAGGCTGAAAACTTTCCCCCTAAGATGAGGAACAAGGATGCACTGCTTTCACTACTTGTATTTTACATAGTATTGGAAGTTCTAGCCAGGGCAATTAGTCAAGAAAGACATCCAAATTGGAAAGGATGGAGTAAAACTATCTCTGCTGGCAGATGACATGATCTTATATGTGGAAAATCCTGAAGAGCGCGCGCGCATGCGCACACACACACACACACACACACACACACACCCACCCCTCCCTGTTAGAACTAGTACGTAAATTCAGCAAGGTTGCAGGATACAAAATCAATACACAAAAAAGTTTCGTTTCTATACACTAACAATGAAGAGTATAAAAAAGTAAGAAAACAATTCCATTTACAATAGCATCAAAAATAATTAAAATAGGAACTTAGGAACTAACTTAACCAAGGAAGCAAAAGCCTTATCTAATGATAACTATCAACATTGCTGAAAGAAATTTATAAAGACTAAATATATGGTAAGATATCTCATGTTCGTGGACTGGAAGACTAAATCTTGTTAAGACATTAATAATACCCAAGTGATCTACAGGTTCAATGTAATCTCCCTTAAAATCCCAGTTTTTTTGCAGAAATAGAACAACCCATCCTGAAATTCATATGAAAACTCAGGGGGATCCCCAAGCAGCCTAAACAATCTTGAGAAAGAACAAAGTTGGAGGACTCATACTTCCTAATTTCAAACTTACTACAATGCTACAGTAATCAAAACAGTGTGGTAGTGGGATAAAGACAGAAATACAAGTCAATGGAACAGAAACAAAGAGCAAATAAATAAATATATAAATGCTTAAAAAATTATTTTGACATGGGTGTCAAAGCCATTCAACGGGGGAAGAACAGTCTTTAAAAAAAATGGTACTGGGACAACTGGATATTCACACAAAAAAGAATGAAGTTAAACCCTTACTTTACATCATATACAAAACTTAACTCAAAATGGATCAAAGACCTAAATTTAAGAGCTAAAATGTAAAACCCTTAGAAGAAAACACAGGGGAAAAATTTCATGACATTGGATTTGGGACAGATTTCTTGGCTATAACACCAAAAACACAGGCAACAAAAGAAAAAAAAACAGATAAACTGGACTTCATTAAAATTAAAATTTTTTGTGTATCACAGGACACTATCAAGAGAGTGAAAGGAACTCCACAGAATGGGAGAAAATATTTGCAAATCATGTATCTAATAAAGGATTAATATTCAGACTACATAAAGAACTCCTATAATCCAACAACAACAAAAAAATCCAGACAACTTAATTTAAAAATGGGAAAAGAACTTGAATAGACATTTCTCCAAAGAAGACACACCAATGGCCAATAAGCACATAATGAGATACTCAACATCATTAATCATTAGGGGAATGCAAATAAAACCACAATGCGATGCCACTTCACACCCATTAGGATAGTTACTATGAAAAACATACAAATAAAAAAAACAAACAGAAACCAACAAAAGTTAGCAAGGATGTGGAGAACATGAAACCCTTATGCATTGCTGGTGGGGATGTAAAATGATACAGCAACTGTGGAAAACAAGTATGGTTTCAAGAAATCAAACAGAATTAGCACATGATCCAGTGATTTCACTTCTGAGCATATACCCCAAAGAACTGAAAGCAGGAACTAAAACTGATATTTGTATACCCATGTTCACAGCAGTATTACTTATAGTAGCCAAAAGGTGGAAACAAGCCAAGTGTCCATCTACAGATGAATGGATAAACAAAATATGATATATACAAGAAAATATTATTCAGTCTCCAACAGAAATGAAACCCTGAAACATTACAACATAAATGAATCTTGAAAACATATGCTAAGTGAAATAAGCTAGACACAAAAGGACAAATACTGCATGACTCCACATATATGAAGTACCTAGAAGAGTCAAATTCATAGAGAGAAAGTAGAATGATGGTTGCCAGGGGTTGAGAGGAGGGGAGGATGGGGTGTTATTGTTTAGTGGGTACAGAGTTTCAGTTTGGGATGATGAAAAAGTTCTGAAAATGGATAGTGGTGATGGTGGTACAATAATATGGATGTACTTAATGTCAATGAATTGCATACCTAAAATGGTTAAAATGGTAAATTTTATGTTATGTACATTTTGCCACAGTAAAAAAAAAAAAAAAAAAATTCTAACAAATAAAAAAATTGTATAATGATTTACAAGTTTTATATGTATATATATTATCAAAATTTGCTTGCTGTCACATGTTACAAATCTATTTAGCCAGTGTGTTAACGGACTTTATAGTATTTTTTTCCGCATAGAAAATTTTAATTTTTATGGGGTCAAATTTTATCAGTCTTCTATTTAATGACTTCTTAATGGGTAGAGAGTTTCAGTTTAAGACGATGAAAAAATTCTAAAGATGGATGGTGGAGATGGTTGCACAACAATGTGAATATGCTTATTACTACTGACTGTACACTTAAAAATGGTTAAAATGTTAAATTATGTTATGTATATATTACCACATTAAAAAATACCCCAAAACCAAATTTGGATGATTATACATTAGGGGTTTGGACTAGTTCTAACACTTCTTGCCTTCCAGGGTTCTAATTTATAAAGCAAATAAATAAGCAAAGTGGATATACATTTCACAAATTTCTGTGGTACCTTATAAGCCCTACAGCAGGGCCTCTTTGGGAGCAGAAAGTTGGAGAAAGCGGCTTAAACTTGACGTCAGTGTGCGCTCTCCCATCCTTAGTCTGGACTGGGGCATCCATGCGTGCAGGCGGGCTAGTATACAAAGATGAGATGGTGTAGGCAGAATGGATTTACCTAAGTCATTCTATGAGCCTGGATCACAAGCCTTCTTACATGTCCAGGCATGTATAAAACCAAGAAAAATAGAATGATAGCACGGCTACATCCAGATATGGAGTTATGAAGTATGCTGAGCTGAGAAAGTGACATACAAGAGGACATGAGCAGTGTGACCTCTGCACAGTGATCTGGAATAATGTCAGGCTCTCACCAACCAGGTGAGCTCCTCTCTCTCTCTTTCAGGTAGGTAGACCAGGTGGGGTGGTGGTGGGAGTTGGGGGTGACTGAAGGGAAGAAAGCCTGGCATTGTTCTAACTCTCCTGTCCTAAAGGAGAAACACTGAAATGACATCTTTCAGGACACAAATGTTGGGAGAGGAAAGGTGAAATTCTTCAGTCAACTCAATAATGCACAGTGGACTTTAGGGGAGCAGTACACAGATCATTATTCTCTTTCTGTACCATGTGAGCTTTTTCATCTTTATTACATACCTCTGATTGACTCCTCTCATAATACTAGTTGGGGACCAGAGAGGCAGCTGAGCTGTGAGAATCACACCCAGGAGAAATTGATTTGGCTTCTGTACATCTGGATAAGCTGAAGTGTCTGTCTGACTAAGAGTATACAGTTGATCACAGGCAACACGGCGAATCTGAAATTACATTATTAGTGGCAAAAGATGAACATTGACCAACACTTAAGAGATTTCTTAAAAACTGATTTTTCTTCAAGTTTATACTTGGAAGGATATTATAAGGGTATGAGTGTTTCAATCACTAATGGTGAAAGTTATACTGAATAAACTAGGGCTAATTAAAAACAAGTGTGGTCTGTAGATTTCCTAAATCTAATCCAATCGTTTCATAATTTAATATAAATGAAAATAAGAAAAATCTTTGAGTGTTTCAAAGTTATTTTCAAGTTCATGTAAGAAAGTCAGAGTGATAAAATCTAATGAAGGTTCATTTCTTGAAGTTGGTCTTTCATGATTTTCACCAACATGTTGATGCTAATGCCAGCTGCCTTTGCAAGCTATGGATGTTGAACACTGGCTCTACCATTTTGTTGGTTATAAACATAAATTAATTGTAGTGCTAGTCTCTAAACTTTTGGTGGAATAGAGTCCAAATGATCACTTTGTTTCAGTGGTCTGTGGACCCTCTGTATGACTCCCTGAGAGGGCTAAATGTCATTCCTTCTGTGTTCCCCACAATGTGACAGGTATCCAGAGAGCCCACGAAAGAATAGGATGAAAGGGTTTTTTTTTAATAAAGGAATGTAAACAATCCTTACCTCAGAACTTGGTGATCCAAGCAGAATATCAATGATAAAATCAGCAACACAGGGCAAGTTATAGAAAGATGCTAACGATAAAAATAAAGAGAAGTGCAGGTGTGGGGGGGAAATTAAGTTAGAAATGCATTTTTTAAATTTCAAAAATTTTCAATAATTTCTTAAGATTAACTACAGCAGGAATTCACCTCTTCTTTTACATGGACTTGAATTCAGGACCTTTGACAACTGCCTCCACATCTGTGAGTTTTTAAGATGCTAAAGAGGGGGACCATGTCCTGGTCATCTCTGTACCTCCACATTTTAGCACAATGCCTCACACATACCAGTTACAGAATAAATATGTCCTGCCTTGATAAACTATCAATACTTGTGAACTATAAAATATACCCTACCACAAACTTTCAAATGATAAAAAAGCTTGAAATGGGGAGTTATAATTTTTTTCATCTTTATTTGAAAATATCTCTAAAATTAAACAATTATAGGAAAATTGAACTAAGAGTATGGCTTATGTCCAAAAGCATTTCATGACTTAAACTTCTCACATACAAGCTTTCAAAGGCATTCTTGCTCAAAGTAAATAATTTTGGATACTATTCTAATGTGCCATAAATGTCTAACTTTTTCTATGTTTACCTTGATTATCTTATGTAATGAGTTTGGAAGTTACACTAAACACATAATGATCACTGATTCTACGTAACAGGCAGCCTGAATGGGTAATAACAATGAAGACTAGAGCTCCTATGTATTGGTACAATTTTTGAAAGTGAAGCTGTTAAGGCTTCATTCTCGAATAAAAATTTACTGAGGACCTACTATGCATTGGGCAGTGTTTGGGTGCTGGAGATTCAGTAGGGAACAGAATGGACAAAAGTATCTGTCCTATGGAGCTTACAGTCTAGTTGCAGAGGGGATGATGACTGACAGTAAATAAATTATATTGTATGCTATTAAGTGATAACTGATACAGCAAAAAATAAGGTGAGAGGTTTAGGTAGTGCTGGGGTGAGCGGAGTGTTGTTTTCTTTAAAAAGGTGGTCAGAGAATGTCTCACTAAGAAGGTGACATTAAGCAAAGACTTGCAGGAAATGAAAAGAGAGCCATGTAGTCAGATGGGAGAAGGACATACTAGGAAGAGAGGCAGCCAGTGCAAGGCCCTGAGGCAGGAATGTGCCTGGAGTACTGGGGAACAGCAAGGGGACCGGGGTGGTGGAGGCACACTGAGTGAGGGGGAGAGGAAGAGAAGGGGGAGGCACAGGGGTACTCGTATCGAGGGGGTAGATTGTGTCGGGCCTGAAAGGCCTCAGGAAAGATTTGACTTTTACTCAGCGTGAACTGAGAAGCCACTGCAAGGTTTTCAACAGAGGAGTGATATGACCTGAATTACATTTAAGAAGGTGCACTCTGGTTACTGTATGGAGAGTAAACTACAAGGGTAGAAACAGGGAGATCGGTTAGGGCACTATTGCTATAATTCAAGTAAGAGATGATGGCAGATCGGAGGGTAAGAACAGTGAAGGGGAAGAATCTAGATATAGTTTGAAGGAGGGTGTGCTGACAGATTAAAAGTGGGGTGTAAAAAAAAAAAAAGGAATCGAGGATGACTCCAAGGTTTTCGGCCAGAACAAAACTTCTAATAATTAAGTTGGGAAAAATCTTGGGTGACATGGGCCAGATAGGTAGTTCAGCTTTTGGCACATTAAGTTGGAGAAGTCTATTGGACTGACATCCAAGTGGAGAGGTCAGGGGAGTGGTCCAGGCTGTAGATCCAAATTTAGGTGTTATCAGCATACAGAGGGAATTGAAGGCTGCAAGAGTGGATGAGATCACTGAGAGAATGAGTGTAGACAGAGATAAGACAGTGATGAGGGACCGAGTCCTGGGGTGTTCTAACATTAAAAGTATGAATAATAGCCCCAGTTTGCTAAAGCCAACAACAATAAAGATAAAATGGGAAATCTTTAGTTTCATAATTTTTAACAGTGGAGTCATTATCAGTTTAGCAATTGATATGTAATTCTAATTCTATATTTTATAAATTTGGGTTATTTTAATTCCTCAACTAGACAGTAAACTCCTGGAGGGCAGACATACTGCCTTTATAATACCTACTGCGAATCCTTGTGTACAGAAGGTGCTCAATATATATTTATTCAGAATTTAACTCTCTGGCACTGTTCTTACCTCCTCCACATGCCAACTTTCCCCTTTTTTTCATTTCTATTAATATGCCCTTACTGATGAAGGAATATAAATATTTCCCAACAGAAACCTGGCCTTTCCTTAAAAGAGGTGGATCGCAAGTGAGACTCCTGCATACCCAGTTGCTGGCTCCGGAGCTGCAGGCAGGTAACGAGAAGAGACAAAGCCTCCCCAGCAATCAGTGAGTCTTTGGTGGACACAGACTGCTGTCGCACACAGATGCCGGCATGCAGGGCCACTGGGTCTCCTTCGCTTCCAGAGCTGCAATTGCTTCCTGGAAACAGGCAAACAGAAGGTTACTACAGGTCCCACAAGACCAGCAGGATATTCTCATACCCTTGTAATGTGTTCCGGAGTTAAGTGAAATTAAATAGTTCAAGACGACACTTTGAAAAGAAACAACGGACAATCACTTTATTTGACCCCAACTGCTTTGTGCTTAAAATATACTTGGAGGCACTCACAATGTGTTTATGAGGCAAAACCAATTTCAGGTGACTGAAGTAGATCAATGAAATTTTGGAGGCATGTGAGAGTCTTCCTGGGATATTAGAAATGCTCCGTATCTTGATCTAGATGTGGTTACACGTATGTAACAATCCTGTACATTTAACATTTCTGCGCTTTATGTATGTCACACATTTAGAAAACTTTTCTACTACTGAGGTATATACACACACATAGACTGGGCAGGGAAAGCTAATGAAGCTGAAAAGTAAAGCTACCGAAAGGCCTAATAGAAAATAAATGGCCAAGCCAAAAAATGACTTTTCCGAGTAGGAATTCTAGATCAATTTTAACTACAGCCAGTTATTGGTCTCATGACATTTTACACTCAGCAAGCTAAACATTCTGATTTGGTTTCCTCACTTACTCTGTGTTTATAAAGGCTTTTTTCCCTGAAGTATGACTACATACAGTAATGTGCACAGATCTTAACTGTGCAGCTTGATGAATTTTTACTCATGCTCACAAGTAAGAGAAAAGGCTTTTTCCTTTTTTGTGACTGCGAACAATGGATACATAGATGATTCTTATAGCGATTTCTTGGCCAGTGCTCTATAATTACTTTATTCTTTTTAATCAGTACCTGAACTGCTGAGTCTGTTTCGAATCCCAGCAGGAAAGAGAGAATTACTTTCTTTAATTGGTTGGCTACTCCCCACAAGGTCGAGTCGTCCCGCAGCTGCAGCCCAGGACAGCCTCATGAAACAGGCCACAGTAGACGTGAAATCAGTTACTTCCATGGTCTGCAGAAGCATGGAAAGAGTGTTATGAGAAAAGGTAGTACTGGAACACATTCCATCGACTTCTGTAACTTTCTCACTGGTCTCAGTTTTGTGAGACTCTTCTCTCCAAGGTGACCTAGAAGGATGGCCTTTTATATGCTTCCGTACTGTTCCAAGACTTTCAATAGCTCTCTGCTACCTGTAAAACAGGCTCTGATCTCCATGCTTCAGCTTTAAGTTACCTGCCACCAATTTGGTTTTTACTGTTTCCCTTCTTCCCCGTACTGCATTTTGGCCTGCATGAACTACCGTGTGACCTCCCATAAAGCTTTGGTTTTCTCTAACTGCTCACGCCCTCCATTTTTCTTGAACAACTCTCCATCCTTATCTCTGTATATCTAATCCCTATCTGTCCTTCAAGGCTGACCTCGAATGCCACCGCCTACATGAAACCATCCATGATAGCCAGGAGTGAAGGTAATTATTCCACTTCCTCTGAATGCCAGCAGAATGTTTTGGTTTTGTAGTTCTCTTATAACACTTGATCTTTTCCACCTTGAATTACAGTTTTTTTTTTCTGTACTAGTGGTCTCTTTCTTACCCACCTAAGCTCCTTGAGGGCAATATTCATGTGAATCATTTTTACATCCTCACAGCCCCTTCCTGCAACCTGTGCCTTCCAAATGGGAGGTACTTAGTAATTCTGGAATACACAAATCGCTTACTTGTATTGCAACTCGTGCAGCAGGGATGATTTCCTCAACCCTAATAGAAGACCTATCAGATACTGACAGCTGTCGGTAGGATGACTTTTCCGGGGTACCACATAAGGACATCTGCCTGCTGGTCTGCCGGCTGACGTTTCGGAATGGGCGAGAAGAAAGTGCTTCTATGCCATCTTTGGTGAGGTCTTCATCTAGTAACGTGGGCATTGTTTGTCCGACAAGTAAAAATCTTAAAAGGAAATATAAAGGTAGGCTTATTCAAGCTCATTTGATACTATTTAAAAAGATGAAATTTATAAGAAAAGTAAAGTCAAATATTGCCCCGTGAGACTAATGTAATACATTAACAAACCTTGCGAGTTGTAGACAGATGGAATAAACTCCCTGCCTTGTTTCATAGTCGACTTCTGATGGGATGGAGTCCCTCTGCATGACATTCACAACCAAACTTCAAAAAAAAAGAACAGAAAAAAGGCAGGCTATTAAAGACTTTTGTATCTTTCATAGGAAATTTCCTTCGAGTAATTTAATTGCTAATACATGTTATCAATAACTTAACATTTCTGTACGATTCCTACATATTTATAACTGGACCATACGTATCTTTTATCACCATGATTTCCTATGATACCTACAACCCTCCTGGTCCACTCAGAATTAAACTCCTTGCTTAGCCAAAATAAGAAACCCCATCCAGTGATCAATTCAAAACACATCCAGAGCTGGTGCAGTCAACAAAGCTTGTTTTTCACAGCCACCACCACCTGTATTACTGCAAAAGCTTCCCAACTGTTCTTCCTGCTTCCACTCTTGATGCTCCACCTCCAAAATCTAGTCTCCAGAGACCACTGGCGTGATCCTTTAAAAATGTAAGTCAGATCATGGCACTCCATCCCTGCACAACATCCTCTAATGGCTTCCTACTTCCTACGGAGAAGAAAGGCAGTCTTTACAGTAGCCTGTAAGACCCTGCAGGCCCCGAACTCTGGTATGTGTGTAGCCTCAGGCTCCCCTCCCCTGCCTTCCTCACTGCCCCAACTCCACTGGCCTCCTGTGGACAGCTTTCCCCAGGTATCTCACGGTCTTACTCCCACACCTTCGGGTCTCTATAAATGTCACCCCATCGGTGAAGCTTTCCCTGACCACTCTCCTTAAAACTGCAACCCTTTCCATCCCCTCCTCCTTGTCTTATCTTTCTCTGCAGCTCTTATCAACCACCTGATATACACTCTTACCTTTACTGCTTCCTTTATTATTTGTCTCCCCCACAGGACTGTAAGCTTCACAAGGATACAGGTTTTTGTCTAATCTAGTCACTATGTTCCCAGTGCTTAAAATAATGCCTGGCATGTAAATTAACTGACATACAAAAGGAAGCCAGAAGTAAAATGCCTTTATTACCACAGCTCTGTAATCGCCTGAGTAAATTGAAGCACGCTGTTACAAAGGATAGCCCTACAAGGTTGAACAAAGAATGAAACTATATGTGCACTAGGCCTTCTTTCCACACAGTTGGAGTTCCTTTAGCTCCATTTCTCTATTTCTCATCCTCTTTATCTCTTCATGGTCCCACTTAACTTCTCTTCCTCTCAAGGCCTCCAAACAGGAATTCCTTCAACTAGCCTCTGCCCAAACTTCAAGCTGGTTTTCACTCCTAGAGGAAATGGCACGCCTGCTTCTTCCCGGAGTAAATCTCCTTTCAGCTGAGGTAGAACTCAGCCCCATCGACTGATCATCCCTCTTTCCTTCATCTTTATTCTTTTCTTCTTCATCGGCCCTTTAGTCAGCGTAGAGAATCAAGCCTCTACAAGTTAAGCTCAAACAGAAAAGCAAACTTCTCCCTCAGTTAGTCTTCGTGTCAAGTACTGCCACCCCCCTTTTTCCACTCGTTGTAAAGCAGACTTCTACTTACTGATTTGACTTCCCATTCTTATACTTGCCGCTCACTTCTGCCGGCTGCTTATTATATCCTAATGGCTGTACTTATACCTGATGCCTCCCCAAATCCCTAATGCCATTCTCCACTCTCTCGAGAGCATCATTTCCAAACCATCCTCTTCACATGATTCACAGGGACTTCTTAAACAATCAAATTCACTTCTCTTGACTTCCTCTGTGTCCTCCATCTTCCTCCATGTTTTTTCCCCATAAGGACTAAGATTCATCATTTATCTACTCTCCCAAGGTAGAAATCATAGGGCCATTTTATGAACGTTCCTACCCCTTATCTAGTTATAAAGTCTTGCCTATTTTACCTCATAAATATCATTCTACCACTGCCCTAAATTTAGAGCCTGTCATCTCTTCTCTGGACCACTGTCAGCTCTTACTAGTTCTCCCTGCCTCCAGTCTCTCCCACTTCAGTTCTTCTCCAAAGCAGCCAGAGTTAATTGTTCTAGGTAATTCCTGGCTTAGAAACCTCCTGTTTTTCCATGATCTACAAGATAATGTTGAAACTCCTCAATGTGACCCTTCTTTACATATTTCTCCCCTTTATCCTTTACTAGGCAACTGTAGTTCCCAAGAGAGGCCATGCACCTTCATGCATTTCTCATCCCCACCCCTACCTCTGGCTTAGAGAGCCCTTTCCCTCCTTATTTACCTAGGGAATGACTACTCATTTCTCAATTCCCAGCTCACACGTCACTTTCTGTGAAGCATTTCCTAATCTTATGACCCCAACCCAATTTAACTATTGTATATAATTTAACCACTTTCTTCCTTAACCTCCATTGTCCCAAAGCACTTTTTATAAGCCTCTGTTTTGATACTTATAGTAACAGTGTGTTATTCTTTGTTAAACCATGAGCCTCTCAAGGGCAAGGATAATGCTCAGCATATCTTTGCATCCTCAGAACTAATCCCTTGCACAACATGGACTGCTGGGAGTCAAATTCACCTTATCACAAACTGACATAGGACTCAGCAGAAACAGATAACAGCCTCCTCTCCTCTCCTCTTCCTGAGAACTTTCCCCACTGCTAGAGGGGAAACAGACATGCTTCTCGAGGTTTTCCAAATAATGAAAAGTCATAAAATGAATGAAAATATTCCAAAGACTGAAACATCATTCCTTCTCATTACAACTCTCATAATAATACCTTGTAGAAATAAGCAAGGCTTGGCAAGGGAAGTTAATTAAAATATATTCATTTCTGCAATTCATGTAACATTATAGTGAAACTCTAACCTCAAACCTCCTGCTTTGAGGAAGTTCTCACAGAAGGATTTTGCACAGTTTCTTGCCATGTCATCATCAGCAGTTGGCATGAGTTTGGAGCTTAGAACCTTGGAAACAGATAAGCACAATTAATCATCCCAATATTTCCAGCAACAATTACTCCTTTACTAAGTAAAACAATCAGACAACTCGAGTCAGAATCTCTCATGCTGCATCAAATGCTGCATGTTGTTTTCCCCCCTAAAGTATATGGAGGCTGATGTTTCACAATTAAAATAATCACATTTTCCAAGTTCTAGTTACTTAGCAAGAAAAATCTTTGTTTTGAAGAAAACTAATGTGTTCTTTTCATGAAACCAGCAAACATGAATGTCAAAGGCTCTCAGGCTTAGAAAAAAAGCAGATACTCTACATGATATGCTATGTTCTTGAAAAAGTATACACACTAAGTTTTATAAAACAGCCCATTTATTAAAAATGCTAGATGAGCTCCCTAGTAATGATTCTAACTTCTGTTCATTGAGCATGTAATGATGTACTAGGCATAAGATGAGGTGCTTAACATACACTATCTCTTCATCTCACTATGCATGGCATCTTATTGTACTTTATAGGTAAAGACTGTGACCCCAGAAGTTTAGTAACCTCCTATCCAAGGTCACATGGTTAGAAATTCAAATCCAGGTGTGTCTCATTCTAATATTCCTGCCCCTTTTATAACACTGCAATATCTACCTAAGGAAAGCTTAACTGAATATTTTGGTATGACAGAGAATTATTTCACATAAATAATTAAACTATATAGTTATAAGGCTACTAAAGTCTAGTCACGTTCTGGTTTTTTACCTTCTACGAGCTGACAGATCTCAGGCATGTAGGTTTCCCTTTTGCCTCAGTTTTCTCATCAGCTAGATGAGGATAATAGTTATCTTTACCAGAAGATTGTTTGGATTAAATGAGCTAACACAGAGGTTAAGGTGCTCAGTATGAGCACGGGCATAAAATAAGTACTGAGTAAACAACTGCTTATTTAGTTGTTATGATTTTAAAAGATCTGCTGCTATGAACCTATGGAGGTTTTTTATGAACTTATTTTAGAATTTTAATGTGGATTTTTTTTTTTTTTAAAGATGCTTTTTTCCTAAATTGCTTTCTGGGAAACAGGTGTGTCGGCCCCAGTCTGTGAGCATTACACGGGAGAATGGGGACACTGTGTAATTCTAATCCTTCTTGAACATCGATAGCCACATGCACACACTCCCCATGCTTAATGGACAACAATTTAGTGAAGATGGAATGTTTCTTCAAAGGATGGGTATTTGGAATATCCACTTTGAAGTTTCCTAGTAGGCAAACATAAGTCAAAGATCAAAATATAAGGAATTTAACCTTTCAGGCAACAGTAAAATCAAGTGCTTTTGGGAGTGTTAGGGTTTCCAAATGTTTGTGTTGTCTAAAGCAAAAGACAACCTACCAGAGGAATTCCCAGGGAGCAGACGTCCTAAAGCTAGAGCCATTGTTGGATCACTCTGTTTTTCTAGGTGCTCTCAAATGTGGGTGTTAAGATTTATACCTTAACTTTTTTTGAGACAATCGTTCAAAAGCAATGACAAGTCTGGCAGCAATGGAAGGTTCAAAATTTATAAGCTTAAACTGGTGAAAAATTTCTAGGCAAGTTTCTGTTTTGGGATATTGTATGTATTTTAAATGTGTACATTAAATAAGGACACACTTTACTTTAAAAATATTTACTAAATATTTTCTGCTTTTGAATCCCACATATCTTTTGACAAGAATAGTTATTTTAAGGCAAATATGAAATGTTATCACAGCTGGAACACAGAAGCAACAAATAGAGCATAAAAATGGATGAATACAATTACATACTCCAAATTAGATTGTCAGATGAAATAAAATTTAGAAAAAAAGGCCCAAGCAAGTACCCTTTAGCAATTATGATCTTAATTATGACTCAAAGTCTAGTCAAGATAAATGATAATTTGGTAATTAAGGCTGCTTAGGCATTGATCTTGATTCTTTAATAAATGACTTCCTGGATATAACTTCCTAGGTCAAAGCAAAATCATCCAGGGCTTTCTTTTCTCCAGACCTTATGTGGCACAAGAGTCTGACCACTGACCCTCCAAGAGCAGGACTGTTTCCACCTGGTCACTCTCCCATATTGTGTTGTTAATGCTTTGTTTTCAAGACTCAGTATATCCAGCCTCTCCTATGTCTTACTCATAAGATCTTGGCGCAAAGATCTTGTCTTTTCATCTTTGATTCTTTAACAATGACTTATAGTTGCTAAACAATTAGTAAGTGCTTACTGAACCAAATCTACTAGTTTGAAGCTACTATGGGGGAGGAGGGTAACAAAAATATTCTTTTGCTCAAATTCTTCCAATGTTTTTTTTAAACCTTGAAATGTTAACATGTCTCCTGACAAATTCCTCATAAAGCTTCATTAATGTCAACAAGTTACAATAGCTTTTAAAAAATTAAGATGCCTTTAATAACAAGGCAGCTCAGGATTAATAATCGATACACATACTTGCAAAACTTCTAGAGGAAAGTAATAACACATTTTAATAGATAAGGCTTCCTAATTATTTATTTAGATGCTATTTTGCGGGGCTGGCTGAGTGGCTCAGTTGGTTAAGAGCTCACTCAAGAGTTTGAGCTCTGAGCAACAGCGGTTTGATTCCTGGCCCCAGCTGAGCTGCCGCTGAGCTGCCAACAGGTAGCAGGATGGCTCAGCTAAAACAACAAACAAACAAACAAACAAAAAAACTAGATGCTATTTTGCAAGTATAACAATGTTCATAGGTATAAATTTTAAAAAACTGAGCATTCACAAAGGCAAAAAACAAAATGTTTCAGTTTATATTTTAGTTTTTACTTGTTTAAAAAACTAATTTTTAACAGATCAAACCTATTTATTTCTGTCCTCTGAAAGCAAGCTTCTGCAAACCAACACAAAAAGAAATTAGGTTTCTTACTTCTAAGTTGTAGAGCACTCTGAAGGTAGACATTCCTGGAGCAAAAGATCGAAATAGACTTTCTAAAATTGAACTAGCGCTTGGCTGATGCTGTTGCTTTGAAGACAGGGATGGAGATTTTGAAGACTGAGAACTTGTTTCAGACAGCAATGTTTTCTAAGTTTTAAAAAAATGAAAAAAATGACATTACTCTAATTATTAACAAGACATCAAACTCCATCACACAAACTTTAAGTGCTCAACAGTATTACGATCCCACACGAATGCCACTGAGAATGTGTTCTAAGCAACACTAGCATGGTCATCTTAATTTGTTTCTGTATTTTCAAAATCTATACTTCTAAATACTGATAATGAAATTATAAAATTGTGGAAGTGGTAGTTTTGAGAATTTTTTGAAGTAATGCTAGTGGTATATTTTATAATTACATTAGTTCTCTTCTCTCTCAAATTAATATATAAGCCATATATGACAAGACTGAGCTGATCTATACTTCAATCACTGAAATATAAAATTCACTAACTTAATTCTAACAACTTTTTTCTAAATTAATTTATTCTGAGAACACAGACATCATAGATCACTATTTTAATATATACAGAAAGGAACAATATCCTAAAAATTAAATAAAATGAACTTGATGTATTAACAGTGAAAAAAAAAATCAAAAGATAACTCATTTATGCAAGCAACTCAAACATCTGTAACAATCACAATGAGAGAGGCACCATAACAGAAGTATCAGAACTACAGTCTGATCCTGGTCAAGGCAAAGACACTTTATCTCTCTGAGTTTTGGTTTCCTAATACTATATAACATGAAGGAAGCAGAAGTAGATGATATTAAAGGCTCTTCTAGTTTTAAAATTTGACATCATTTTTTACTCTATCTAGATACTTTAAAAGCCAACATGAAGTTCTGATTTCCATGTACGGAGAAGGCACTTTTCAAAAGAAGAAAAATCATGGGAAAGATGGTATCAAATGACATTAATGTGATTTTGTGTTGTATTTTCACTGAATGCTGATATAAAATTCCACGTCGGTTAAATAACTATGCAAGATGTGCATACCTTTCTTCCTAAAGAATCAAGTTGATCAAGGGCTTCCTGAATGGCTGGATCAGTGGGTATCAAGAGCAGAAGCTTTCGGACTCGTAGAGTTATCCTGAAAGTTTTCAAATTAAAATTTTTTTTCACATAAGCCAGTTTCAGTAGCCATCATTTAGTGTGAAATGTAAAGTAAAATACATTTCAAGTGAGAAGTTACTTGGTTCCCCAACCTTAGTAACTTCCTCTTCCAAGCTTTGTAAATATTTATATTTACCTTGGCTCCTCTAGATTGGCAAGCTGGTACAGCATGTCAAATACATTACATACAAGTGCCATCACGACACCAGGAAGGGATTTCTCCTGAGGGAAAA